TCGGGAGATTGGCAAGAGAGAGCCAAAGAAAGGAAGCTGATGAACGAGAGAAACGTGAAGAAAGAAGCTGGATGTAGTTGGATTGAGGTGAAGAACAAGACTTACGCGTTCTTGGCGTGTAATCGGTCTCATCCTCTCAGGGATCAGATTGATGTGAAGCTAGAATTTTTAGTACGTGGCTTAAGGAATTACGATATGAGCCAGATATGAGTTATGTGCTTTAAGCATAAAGAAACTGTTCTTGCTCAGCTAAGTGAGAGATTGGCTATTGCCTTTGCGTTGATTGCCACAGCACAGGGAAGCACTCTTTTGATCATTAAGAATCTTAGGGTTCGTGGAGATTGTCATGTAGTCATCAAATTGATTGCAAAGATTGAAGGAAAGAAATTGTAGTTATAGATACAAATCGGTTTCATCACTTTAGCAGTGGTAGAGTTTGCTTAAGTGGGGACTTTTGGTGACATAATAAAAAGATAACATATGTTCGACCACATAGAACATATTTTTTTTATACTTCGAGAAATAAAGCAAATTCAATGTTTCTTTGGAACAAACCAAACATGGGTTTGAGATTTGTTTCCTTCTCAGTACATACATAAGAAGAAAGTCGAGAGACTAATGATTGTGAGTGTTTGATGGAATGACAAATCTATCAACCTTCTTCTCCAAACTCCTGTGTGAATCTCTCATGGACATCAAGGTCAGATTTGCTCACTGTTGGCCTTTGTCTAGCAAGTACCTTCTCGAAGTCTGTTCTGGTGATAGGAGGTGGAATAATCTGTTGTATATGAATCGCATAAAATACACAAGACAGTTTTTAGTTCCAACGCATCCAAGGCTTAATGACTAGAAAATCAAGAAACACCTCATTATAAATTTAAGCTTTTGATTTGTACCTTTTCTGCAAGCCCTTTTGCTGCTAGATCTTGCATTGTGGTCTGGATGGCACCAGGTTGCCTAGGTCCACATGGCATCCATGTACCATCGGCAGACTTGAAGAAGAACATGGCATCTTGGGTTTTGCGAACAGGTTCAAACAGAACATCTTTTACCTGCAAGAGCCAAAAAGATTCTCAAGACAAAGGCTTAACTATGTTTAGCTACTTCGAGGCAAACTGTGGACAACAAGAAATCACTAGGACCAAGCCACGTACACAAACGGACACATCTGAACCAGAGAACCCCTCTGTCTTGAGCCCTAAATATTCAAAATCAGGTTCAGTTAAATTATGAGGCGTATCTCCCAAATGGACCTGCAAAAAACAAATGGTTAGTAAATGGCAGATTATGTTTTCTGGAATGATTTTAGTAAAGGAACTTGAAGCAAAAGAACATTTAATACTTTGAACATGTGTTGCCGAGCCTTGGCTTCTGGGAGAGGAATATAGATACGCTTATCAAAACGTCGTCTAATAGCCTGAAATCAACACACGGTGTTTAGCAAAGCAGTATTTTTCGAAACTGGCAAAGAACATATAGAGCCAATCCAGTCTTTTGACTTTTAACCTGATCGAGAGCATAAGGTGTATTGGTTGCTGCAAGCACAAGTACTTTATCATCACTGTGGCCAACACCCTAAAAGAAAAAGAGATAAGCAAAGAGAGGAAAAGTTTCTGGTAGAATTGAGCGACAGTGGTGAGTTGGGATAAGCATTGCACCTGCATCTGCACAAGAAGCTCTGTTTTGATACGTCTTGAAGCTTCGCTCTCGTTTCCTTCTCCACGCTGACCGCACAAAGAATCAATCTCATCAACGAAAATAATGGATGGAGAACTCTCACGGGCCATCTCGAAAAGGTTTGATACTAGCTTCTCACTTTCACCCATCCACTTGGAGACCAGGTCTGATGAAGAAACGCTGATGGTTGGGAGGTAAAAAGGAAATAACTAACTATTCTTAAGCTATAAAACACAAGATGAAATACAAGAGAAGAAGCATAAATCAAAACACAAAATGCTAGCTTAGAAAGTTTTCATCCCCAATAAAACAAGAAGCAAAATGTTACCTGAAGAAGGTAGAGTCTGCTTCAGTAGCAACGGCCTTGGCCAGGTAGGATTTTCCTGTTCCAGGAGGGCCATAGAGCAGAAAAGCTCGCCAAGGGCGCCTCTTTCCTAAGAAAGGAACAAGAGTGAATAAAAGAGAGACGCTTTTGATCTCAAAACTCAATTCAACATAGCACAAGAGATCTCAATACAAACCCGTGAAGAACTGTGGAAACTTGACGGGCAAAATGACAGCTTCCTGCAACGCCTGTTTAGCACTTTCAAGCCCAGCAACATCCGACCACTTGATGTTAGGCTTCTCCCTGACGATCGCAGAGTTTAACCCAGCTCTGAGCTTCGATTGCTCAGGGTCCTCTCCGTCTTTACCACCACCCTCTCCGTCTTTTGGCTTGGTCTTGGGCCTCGTCGCGACCGCTGCGTCGCCGTTAGATCCCGGACCCGATCCACCTTCATCCAGAACGGCTCGGATCTCCTCCGCGCGACGGAGATACTCGGTGAATTTCTGGGTAATCGCTTCTCTGATCTTTGGGTTCTTCTCGTACTTGAGATGGGTTTTGAAGTACTCGAGCGCGTTCATGTAGAGAGGAAACGCCTTGTTGTAATTTCCTGCATTGTCCTCTTGAACCGCTTGCTTCACGTACTCGATCGCTTGTTCCTTAAAGTTGCTGTACATAACTACTCCTGCCTTAGGGTTTCTTCGCACTAGATCGGAGTCGGAGAAAGGGGAATTCAATTCAATCAAGAGAAGCTCCTCCACAAAAACAACTCAGCGTAGCTTTGTGGAACAATGAAACGTTGTGGCGTTTCCAACTTGTCAAGAATTGCCTCAACGCTTTCATCTATCACGAGGAAACCACTTGCCGTTTGCTTATCATATACACGAGATGTGTTTACAACATCTATTGTAGTGTTAACTGTCTGGTAAATGGGAAAAGTTAGCAAATTCTGCTAAGACTCCTTGTATTTATAGCCCAATCCAACTCCGTCGTCCAGTTCCGCATATCTCGGGTTAGCTCCGCTTATCTCGGGCACGTTCGGGGTTAATCCTCTGCGTATCTCCGATGTAAACTCGGCTCCCGTCGACTCTACACACCTTGAGCTAAACAAGGCCCGTTATATGGGCCCATCACGTTTTACATTACTCGGTTATGTTCTAAATTTGGGCCGAAAACCCAAACCTTTTGTTATTTTACCTTATTTTCTCTAGGCTTTTCATGGCCTGATTGAGTGACGATTCCAACTCCAATAGTTGCCCTCCAGCTCATTAAGTGTGAAGCGATAAACACTTCATGTGCCGGTGTTTTTCATCCCTTGTTGCAAATGGGCTGCGATCTGGAGAAGAATCCTATGGATCGATGTAAATCTTCGAATGCATATATTGTAATTATCTCGATCGGACGGTCATTCCTGAATCTGACGATCAAGAGCAAAGGATTCAAGATATTTATGCGGTATAGGGAGTTACGAGACCTTAACACTGCAACATTACGTCACTTCATGTTCCCCACTAATTTACCGTGAGCCTCACTTCATGTTCCCCACAAATAATCGGTTTTTACCCCCGATCTTAAGATCTAACAAAATTTTCAACTCTCCTCCTCAACTTCGTGCATAGCTCTCAGGTTTTTCGAGATACTCGATTTCTTCTGCTCCTAACATTCGCTCTAAAATCATGGCAGCTTCCACTTCTGACGCTCAATTCGGCTCTTATGAACCGTCTCAGGTAGTCTCGGAGGACCTCTTCTTGTTACACGAGAAATTAGGTGTCCCTTCATCGATAGAACTACGCCTACCGACAGGCTGAGATACGCCTAAGGCGACTGAACCAGTGTGGTGTTGCACTTATTTGAGTTACTTTCAGACGTGCGGGCTCGCTTTTCCGATCTCCATGTTCCTTATCAAGATTTTAAAGTTCTTGGGGCTAGCTTTTCATCAAATGGGTCTGAACTTGCTTTTCATCAAATGGGTCTGAACTTGCTTATTCACGCCATTGGGACCTTTGTTAGATCTTACGAAGAAGAAATGGAGTTGAGTACCAGCGAGTTTCTTGACTTCTACTTGGCAAGGAAGAATTCGAGGATTGAAGGATGATTCTACCTGGCTCCCCATCCCGGCACAGGGATTATAACCATTACCTCATTCTTCTTGCATTGTGACTCTGATTGGAACAAGAAATTTTTCTTTTTCAAAGCTCGTCGGCATCGGTTGCTTTGATGGAGGATTATATGAGGCTTCCTGTTCGATTCGCGATAGTCGTTGGTGAGTTTGTGTGAAAGTTCCAGTTTATTTTTACATTTTGAAATTTGAGTTGGGGGTCCTGATGGACTGATCCAAATTTGTGCTTTCAGCAGGGAACACTGCATCTCCTCTGCTGACAAATACCAAATCGTCCCGGATGGGCTTGCTTCGGAGAAGCCAGACAGGTTGGACACGTTCTCAACGTTTTGGATGAAGAGAGCTTACGCCCTTTATGTCGGATGACAGATTGCCTGAGGGTGGCGGCTGAATTCGGGTCGTTGACTTCATATGCGGCTTTGATGTGAGAAAGTCAACGAAAAGTTTAAAGAAAAAAAGGATCGTAATGGTTTTGATGGGGAGAGGCATGAGGGTGGTTTCGAAGGAAATTGAGATTACCGTTAAGCTTGTGAGGCGGTTAAGATTTGTGAAGAGATGGATAAAGAGACGGTGGAGTTTGCGGTGGAGAAACTTTCTTCGGTGACAAAGTTTATGGAAGGAATAGAGAAGGAGCAAGATATGATGATGTCAACGATATCGTTGACTTAGAGAGAGAGGTTGGATGGTGCGATGATTTTGCTCAGTTTGGTCGTAATGCAACTCGGATGAAGATTGTTGATTTTATGTCTTCTGATGTGATAATTCGAAAGAATTGAAGTATATTAATCATATATATGAAAGAAGAAGGAACACTCTCCATCCTTTCCATACAAGTTTCTGCCACATGTACAATTTAAAGTAATCTCGATTTAAACTCTTCAGTTTTTTATCGTCGTTCCTTTCATCTTCCTTCGAACATTTATTCAGCCTTTAAGAATACGAAAATAAATCGAAACCAAAGCAATTCGGTTTGAAACATTATTCGAGGACTGCATTCGGATAAAGGTACGACTCAATTTTCCTTTGCAAATCCTAATGATTTCTATGCAAAATCTATTGAATCAACCGACTGAGATATATCGAAGAGAAGCAACTTGCGTCAATTCTCTACTTTTAAATCAGTTACGATATTAGTATTTAAATATGATGTTTGCAGGTTTCAATGAAAAAAGGTTCGAATAGATGGACTTACGAGCTTGAGTAATGGAAGTATCAACAAAATGGACCATAGTAAAATACGAATACAAGAGTTTCTGCATATCTTCTTTAATTGTTTTTTAATTACATTTCAACGTTCATGGTTATATATTTTCTTATGTTGCCCGTGAATGATTTAGCAGACAATAGTAAAATCATTCTCTCATTTTCCGTATACAAGACACAACTGGATCGGTTGAATAGGAGTACCAACTTGTGTAATGACCCTATCAGCATTATTATTGGTGTGAAAACAAGGCTGATAGCAATTTAGGGAGAAAAAAGGTGGGTCAAAATCGAAAAAAAGTAGAAAA